GATATTATAGCCCAGCCAGACGGGTTATGCTTTGGCAGAGCACTACACTGGAATACATTGCACGGATGCAATTAAAGTAATTAGTTGTAGATTAAATAAGAAAGAGTAGGCTATAGCGGGTCCGGCTCTAGGAGCATATCTCCCAGCCCGAGCTACACGTACAACTCTTACCTTTTATTTTACTCTTTAATTGTAGATTCTATGTTGAACGTCAATAACGCTGCAGCATTGCCTCGCCCGTTACGTGCTCTCACGATTAAAATTATTAAAAATAAAGACACTAACTATTAAAATATCTTTAATTTGTTTAATATAATTAACGCTACGTTTAATAAAGTTAGAAAAGAATATAATAATATTTATATTATAACTAAAATTATATAGGAAGAGTTAATTAAAATATAGGAGGAGAAGAAAACCTTCTATAAAGATTTTTATTTCGTTAAAGAGATTATTTTTATCGCTAAAAGTAATTTGAAGGAAGCCGAGACAAAGAATAAAATTAGGTTCTAGGCTACCGTCGGAGATAAAGTAGAGAAAATTACTTTTAAAGTAAACAACATTCTTAACAATAGTAGCCCTGGAGGATCGGGCAAAGGAACCGGCTTTAATTCCGGTAATATAGACAGTAGTCTTAATGATAATAGCCTTAGAAGATCGGGTATAAATTTGCCTAGTATAAGCAGCAGTCCTAGCGATAGCAGCCTTAGAAGATCGGCCATAGGTTTCCTTAATATAGGCGGCGGTCCTGGAGGTAGAAGATTCCCCGGTAGTCTTAGAGGTCCCGGTAGTCCCAGAGGTCTTAATAGTCCTAGGAGTCCCGGTAACGGAGGCCCCGGCGGACCCAGAAGTCTTAGTAGCGCCCTATTCCAACCCCTTAATCTTTTAGGCGGTAGTTACTATTATAAGGTACTCTATAAAGATCCTAAATATTTTCATAGCGAAGAAATAGATACAATTAAACGCTATAACGCTCATAGTATATAGAATTCAATTATTTATAACCGTTAATTAATAGACCGATACAAATTCTTCAATAAATTATTCAAACTCCTTTATACTATATTTTACCTTAATAGTGAGGCTAAGGTTAGTATTGGTAATTATTATTAATTTAACCTAAATAACTTTCACTATTCAAACTATTAGAAATACAAGATAGGCGAGGAATTTTTAGTTTACTTAAATAAACACTACAAGTAGAGCAACTTCAAAATTATAACCGAGAAGGAATTATTAAATTTAAAATAAACTAATGAATATACTAATTATAAGGATTTCGAGACTAGATTCGTTTCACTAGCAGACTATTACAATTATAATAGAGTAACCCTCCGCACACCCACCCCATTCCCTATATATACCCAAAAACCCCCAAGGCAGCTGACATGTAAATAACCATATTTTGGGTATAATCTTACTCGTTTTACATATTAGGGACCTTGGTCAGATTTCTGGGTTATACAATTATCTCAAATCTAGTAATATCTCTATAGTATTTATTGTGAATTAATAGTAATCAAGCACTCTATTTAATTAATGTTAGTTGTAGATGATTAGACTTAATTGAGCTCTACTACTAAATACTAACGTTTAATAGCTTAAATAGCTTAAAGAACTTATTAAATAAGGGAATTAATAATATTTCTATAATTTGCTACTCTTTTACTCTCTATTCTCTTGCCCTAGCTACTTAATACCTTCCTAACTTATTATCGCTATTATTATTATTAGTAACCTTAATATAACTACGTACTTCGTTTTAAGTATCGAATTACTCAATACTAGGCCCCTCCTTATACTAAGAATAATTATACTACGCTAATATTCGTATAGGTTAGGTATTCCTTAATCGATTATAGGGCGCTATTACCTTTTTACTAACTCTTTTACCCCGGACTATCCTAATTAATAGTAAATTTAGTAGAATAGGTTTATTACTAAACGGACTACTCTATTTGGGGGGGCGACCTTTAGGTATACCCTTAATAGCTAGACGAAAATATAAATATTTATTTATTATATACTAATATAATTATTAGTATAAAGTCACCTCGGGGGAAGGATAGTAATAATTTTACCCGTCGTTATACTAAATACTAGAATAGATAGTAATTATCCTTTATAATTAAGACCGTTTTACTAGCTTCCCTCTTTACTACTATCTTATAGGTATACGGGAGGCTATATTACGCTCTAAATTATTTAGTATAAGGGTTAAAAAGTATATTAGGGCGATTTATAATAGAGAGGGTAGCTTTTAACTAGTTGTATTAATATATAAGGAATTCACATACCTATAATATAATATCGAGAGGTATATTGCGCCCAATCTAATCTATCCGTATACAAGAGGATAACTTAGTAATAACCTCTTTAAAGTAAGTATAACGGCGGATAATATACTAGTTACTGATTCAATAGAAATCAATTAGACCACTACGAATAAATAACCTATATAATTTTAAACAGCTATTATTAAATTTACTTAGTAATATAGTCCGTTACCTATGATTTAAATAATACTTAATATAGTATCTAGCCTACTCTTTCTTATAAGAAAGTAAATTAATTATAATCTACTTAATAATAGCTTTCTAATCCTCCCCAAATTAATATTATAAAAAAAACAAAGTACTTTCGAACTCTATTATCAATAGGGCATAAATTATATACTACTATATATAGAAGAACCCTACCATCGTATTAGCAACCTTATTAGGAAGCGGACTAAGCCCAACCTACGTTCTAGTGACTATCTTAACCTTCTAGTATATATAGCGTAATCGATTAAAATTATCTTAATTATCCTAATCAATTAATTCTCCATATAACTATTATACAAACGAAGATAAATTATTAGAGTTATTACTACTACCCTCCTCCTCTATAAATTCGTCGTAATTCTCCTTATTATCTTTATTATATTCGTGCTCGCCGTTTAAATCTATACGCTACTTATTATTCTTGAGGTACTTAATTATATTATAATTAATATACTATACGCAACATTAATGTTGAACGTTTGGGAAGATTCGATCAATCGTTTTAATAAATTAATTATTACCGTTAGTAATAATAAGTAACGGTTTAAGGATTAATAATTCTTCTATTATTTTCCTAATATAATTAATAAACTAGCTAAATCCTTCGTCCTTCTCGTTATTAATAACTACTTGAAAGTCTAATATAAATAACTTTTTAGGAGTAATTATAATGCCCTATATAATTAGTATATAGTAACGGTTCGTTTTATACGTAGTATTAAGTAATAAAATATATAAATATTATTTCTATATCTTTTATTACTTCCTCAAATACTAGAGACCATAGTGTAGTATATTGGGGTCCTCCTCCTACTACCCTTCGTCGCCTATATAATAATTAGAGAAATAGTATCTAAGCGCAATAAGCTTGTTATTCTCAAGAGTGCGTACGAATACTTATATATTAGTATACCCCCTATTATTTTATTAGCGTATCCTTTATTATATATTCTCAAAGTCCTTATACATAAGAAGTAGTTTAGAATATCGCTCTTTAACAATTGCGTATATAGCTCGCATATTTAATTCCCATTAGCGAAGGAGATTCGTAATATCTTTATAACTCTCTATATTAAGAGACTATTATCTAAAAATTAAATAATTTAATAAGTCTCGTAATAGAGGGTAACCTTTATATATATAATCGATTATCCGGATAGTATATTTATAGCCGTTCTTCTTCAAATATTGTATTATAATACGGAAGGGATATTTATTAATAATCTTTCGAATAATTATATATCGTTTCTTATAAGGGTTAGCGTTTGCATTAGGTATAGGTTCGGCGTAATTGTATTAAAAGATTTTACGGTAGAGTTCGCTAATATATAATCCTTTGTTAAAGTAGTCGGTACGAAGTATAAATACCCTAAATCTATACCGACGATACATTTTAATAACTTTAAGTATCGTAGAATTTAAGTCGGTAAGTAATAGAATAAAGGCGCTATCGTCGCGAGGGATAGTCTATTTAGTATTGCTATTGAAAGAGGTATAATTATTTACAAAAGTAAATAACGAGGAAGTCGAATTGCAATGCCGGCGAGGTTATACCGAGGAGGGGGTATTCTAGGAAGTTCGAAACGGTATCTATTAACTATTAGCGATTATACGTAATTAAGGACAATTATAGACGGTCGAAATTAATTAATTTGAGTAAGATTACATATATTGAGGGTATTGAGGTAGTATAGTTGGTACGCGACGTATAGATGGTTAGCGGTGTAGATAGGGTGCTGGATGGAGTGCAAATAGCCGTGTGAAAAAGAGTGAAAAAAATGACCAAGTTAGAGGAAATGTTGCGCGTATTAAAAAGACGAAATTTTGCGGGTAAAAACGGGATTTACGATATCAGGTATTATCGGCTGTCTGGGCCCACTATTTTGGGTTTTTGGGTATATATAGGGAATGGGGTGGGTGTGCGGAGGGTTACTCTTATAATATAGTTACTAAAGTCCGCTTCTTATATTAGAAGGTATTTAAATTATTAGTTAATTTAGTCTTTTACTACTACGTTCAATTAGAGCGTAACGACTAGAAGGGATAGTCTACTTCATTCCGCGGTATTACTAAAGTATATACTAAAGTATTACTCTGTAATAATTATATTCAAATGATTATAAATAATAAAAATAATAATAATAATAAATAATAATAAACAGTAAAATAATAATAATAAATAATAATAATAATAATAATAATAATAATAATAATAATAATAATAATAATAATAATAATAATAATAATAATAATAATAATAATAATAATAATAATAATAATAATAATAATAATAATAATAATAATAATAATAATAATAATAATAAGTAAAAGGACCCCAACTCTATAGATATAGACCGTACGAAGTTTACGGAAATTCATAAGGACGTCCTACAAAAGCGCTATAATAAGGGTAATTATATAAACTACAATAAAGGAAGATATTTAGCTAAGGACTATAGAAGTAATATTAATTATAGAATTAGAGGTAAATAACCTAACTACTCCAATTTAGGTATTACTATACGCTAGAGGTCTAATATAGGTACCCTAGTTATTAACTATATAATAGCGGATACAGCCAACCCAGTACCGGCGGCCCTAGCCGCCATAACCCCCGCCGTCCTAGCTTAATAGGGAAATAGCGAACCTTAGGGTTAAGTTATACCCCGGGGTATTCTGGAATATAGAGAAGAAAGATAGGGGTAAAGATAAGGAAACTTAATATTTATACTGTTAATTATCAGAGGATAGAGCTACTTAAATTAAGTAGTTTAGAATTTTATAAGTAGAATATAATTCTTTTTTCTATATATTTTTAGTATCCCTAGCGCAACGGTAAAACAGAATATATATTACTAATCGATTCTAAATATTCGGATAAAACTTTTATTAACTATTCGATTATAGAGAAGGCCTACTGAGAATTCGGAATACTAGAGAAATTAAAACTATTATACCTAATAGACGGCGTATTTAAAGAATAGGTGGATTGATATATTGAAGCTACAATACGTATTAACGATTATAAAGAAGTTATTCGATTTTTCGTAGCCAATTTAGTAGCGGACTATCTAATTATTTTAGAATAGCTATAGTTGTAGCTCTATAACCCGGATATCGACTAGGTGGCTAATGAAGTTATTTAGAACGTCGGGTATATAGGGATATATATAAGCCAACTTTTAGAAGTGGTAGTACTCTTAGATGAAATTTGGGAGATGGAAAAATCCTAGGAAATAGAAGAATCCGAAGATGATTATAGCTCCGAAAATAAATCCGAAGATAAGTTTAAATAAGACCTTCCTAATTAGACGGCCAATATTACGAAAGCCCTTAAAGAAAGCTAAACTATAATAATGGAACCCCCCATCTCCGCCAACCTACGTAAACGAATTTAAAAAACCTATTAATTCAGAAAGGAAGCCTATACTAAAGATAATTAAGATGTAGATTAAGATTATCGATAAACAGAAGGTCTAAATAATACTGTAATTAAAGCGAATTAGACGTACTATATTCCAACCCTTGGAACCTATAATTAGTATAATAGTATTAGACCTTTCTAATTTTGAACTTATTAATGTGGGAACGTTTATATTTAATACTAGGTTAAGGGGAATCTAAACAAGTTTGATAATATAAATAGAACTCTAAGAGGTATAGAAAGAGAAAAAGGAAATTATTTCTATACTAGTTCTATTAAAAAATACTTAGAAGAACATTATATTAGGTAAAGGCGAGCCTTATAAATACTACTTTAAGGACACTTGAACTTATAGATTTATTAATTTATATAAAAAAGGAACCGTAAGCAAAAACGTAGGCAAGTAATCCCTTTAATCTAGCGAAGTAATTTAAAGCTTCGTTAACCGAATTTGTAAATTAGGATTAAGAAAGGAAAAGTAAAAAAAAAGAGAATTTACGCCACTAACCGAAATTAATAGAATTTATAGTATTATAAAGGAAAATATATAATAATTTATAGAAAAATCGATAAAATTAAAATATATACTAGAATAGGTAAAAGTACAATTCCCCGATGAATATAAGGATTTATTATATATTATTAACCCTATAGACGTTAAAGTAATCCCCGAATACCGTTTATACGATTATAAAATTAAATTGAAGCTAGGGGTGGAATTATTACTTTACTCTAGGGCGAGGCCTATATTACCCTAAAAATTAAAATTTATTAAATAGTAGCTAAGTAATAACTTAGTAAAGGGATTTATCCGGCCATCGACTTCGGATATTGCCTCCCCTATACTATTAGTAAGGAGATTAGGCGGCGGTATAAGAATTTATATTAACTACCGAAGTATTAATAATATCTCTGTAAAAATAGGTACCTATTACTATTAATTAAAGAAACGCTAAACGCTATTTGTAGAATAAAATAGTTTAAAAAAGTCGATATAATCGCAGCTTTTAACCGGCTGCGTATAGTAGAGGGATACAAATAGTTAACGGTATTTATTATATAGTATCGCCTTTATAAATTACTAATATATTTATTTAGACTATTAGGGGCGCCGGCGTCTTTCTAGAGTTTTATTAATAATATATTATATAATATCATTAATGTTTATATAGTAGCTTACTTCGATAATGTACTTATTGTCTTAGAAACCTATAAAGACTACGTAAAATATATAAAGGAAGTACTCTAACGCCTAATTAATATAAACTTCTACATCGATATTAATAAATACAAATTCTATATATAAAGAACTAAGTACTTAAGTATAATTATTACCCTAGGTAGTATTAAGATGGACCTTGAGAAGGTAGAGGCAATTACTAAACAGTAAATACTAGTAAGTAAGTACTAATTATAATAGTTTAAGGAATTTACAAACTTTTATAGAAGATTTATCGCTAGTTTCTCTTATATAGGTAAACCGCTTTATAAATTTATAAAGAGGATAATTAACTAGAAATAGGAAAAAGAATATAATAATACTTTTAAAGCCTTAGAGATAATATTTACTTCTATACCGGTATTAAAAACTTATAATTAGGAAAAGCCTATAACTATTAAAATTAACGCTTTGGATTGGTTATTAGAAGGTATATTCTCTTAAATATACAATAGTAAATTTTATCTAATTGCCTACTTTTCCACAAAATATTCAATAGGAAGATATAGTCATAATATCTATAATAAAGAATTATCAGTAGTTATTAAAGCGCTAGAAGAATAGAGGCTAGAATTAGAAGCTGCCGCATAACCTTTTAAAATTATTATAGACTATAAGAACTCAAAACGTTCGGTACTACGAAGAAACTTACCCCCTAGTATATACGGTGGTCTAAATTTCCATTAAAGTTTAATTTCATAATTAAATGTCGCCCGGGATTAATTAACGTCAAATCCAACGCCCTAAATCGGAAACTGGAATATATTCTTAAAAATAAAATAAATAATAAACTAAACACTAGGCAGAAACTACTTATCAACTCCAATCATTTCGACTAATCTTTCGAAAACGGACTATTATTAGATATTAACAGCGAAGGATTTATAATAAATACTATATCCGACGAGGGAGCTCCCTTCGCTATTTATACTTTAAAAAATAGCTTCGAAAAGGACAACAACGGATGAAACATCCATATAAACAATTTAATGGACCGGGCTTATATTAACTGTTTAATAATAGCCGATATCTAAAAGAACTATTTAATTAGGGATTTATGAATTAAAATATCTTAAAAAGAAATTAAAGGTTCCTTTTACTAAGTATTATATAAATAACAATAGAATAATACTCCGGAATAGACTAGTAGTCCTCCTAAATAATAAGAAAATTTAATTAGAATTGATCTATCGTACTTATTTATTAGTATAGGGAGGACACCCGGGTAAGGACAAAATAGTAACATTAATACATTAATATTTCTAACCGGGAATAATCGTTATAATAAACATCTACTACTATACATACATCCCCTATAGTAAGACTAAAACTATTAGAATATTATTAGTAAGATATTTAAAACCTTTATTAATACTATATATTCCTTAGAGGGATATTTCCATCGACTATATAACTCCGTTCATTAAATTAAAGGGGGCGGGTAGAGCCATTAAATACGAATATATACTAATCGTAATAAACAAGCTCACAAAAATACAATATTTCATTCCCGTAGAAGGAGTATTAATATATGAATTAATAAAAAGATTTATCAACTATATTCATACACTCTACAACCTCCCAAATACTATTATATCTAATAGAAATATCTAATTTATATCCGCTTTCCAAAAGTAATTATTATTGTCACGGCATGGCTGGATAGGCTCCCAGAGCACTACCTACGGCACATCGGATGGAATGAGGCTTCTATTCTTATCAATAGCTATCCGGATCGGGAAGGCGGCGACCGCTAGCAGAATCTAAACTTATATGTCCGATTCCGAATACCTTCGTTCGTACAGCTTCCCTTTCCCTCTTTACACTTAATATTACTTTGATTTGTAGCTCCTAATCCTACAGTCGAATCTCTCGTAGGATCACGCTTTTACAATTATAAAGACTAAGCATCAAACTAAAACTCTCCATCCCCTTACTATAGAAAAATAAACCGTTAAATTAAAAGGATTGATACTAAAATAGAATAATATCTACAAATATTTATCAATTAAGTACAAAATAATTAGGTAAATTAATTACCCCTAGCCAAATTCCAAAGGAATAACCTAAAGTCTATATTTATTAAAATTACCCTATTCTCTACCAACTATAGGCTTCACCCCCAAATAGGCACAGAGCCGACCGCGCTATTACCCCTAGACGTTATAAATATATAGCGGAAGTAAGTTTTTAATACTAACTAACTAATAATATACTTTAAGGAAGTTTAGGACTTTATTAAAATATCCTCTTCATAAGTACAAAAGTATTATAAAGCAATAATAAATAAAAACCGCACGGATACCCCCAAGTATAAAGTCGGTAATAAAGTAATACTTAATATAAATACTTACGCTATAGAACGCCCGTATAATAAACTAACACTCCGGTTTGAAGGGCCGTTTCGTATTATAAAGGCTGATTCGTATATAATAGAATTAATTCTACCTTAACATATTAGGATTACCTACATAATTAATATATTTTACATTAAACATTATATTAAAGGACTCCACCGCTAAAGAGAATTAATAATAAACGTTAAAATAAACGAAGGTATAATTATTACTAGAATAAATAACTTCGAAGAGGATAGTCGGTAGGAGTTCGAAGAGTTATCAAATTATTCGAAGATCGATAATTTGTGGAAATATTAAATAAAATAATTATACTATCCGCTTAGTTAGTAGCCGGCAAAGAACTTAAATACTTATCAAAAATTAATCTAGTAACTTTATAACAACTACCTAAAATTCGGCCCTCCCTACCCAAATTTTAAAAAAGGATAGAAAATATAATAAAAAATAAAGATAATTTTGGAGGATTAAACCTAGGACTAACCCCTAGTCCTAACTACAGCAATACTAGTAGTAAACAACCGGTGAGTGAGAAGAAGCGCGAGACTAAATAATAAGTAAGGAGGTAAAAAAGTAGTAGAAAAAAAAAGGAATTTAATTCAATTTATTCTACGCACCCTAATTGAATACGTCAGTATGCCCTTTTTTAGAATAACCGTTAGTAGTACTAAAAAATAATATATTTTACAGCAGTCTTATATCTCCTATTCCCCCATCATTCGGTCTATTCCCCTAATCGGTTATTTATACAAATAAATATTAGAAAATGAGAACGATTTAAAAAACGTTAATAGTATCAGAATTTAACGTTTAAGGAGAAAAACGAATAACAAGTAGGGAATTGAACGTACGAACTTTCCAATTTATACTAGTAGCGGTTATAGGCGTCCTATAAAAACTACTATACTATATGCGTCCCTATAGTACCCCCAGTAGGGCTAGTAATAGTTGAGGTTCTCTATATACGTTGATTAAGTTAATTTTCCAATATATAATTAAATTATTAGGAGTAATAATAGCTCTTACGGCGGAAGGATTGAATTTAACAATATTTTAGCTAGTATTCTACCTTTAAGTAAGAGTTAAACTACCGGCGAATACTAAGTAGCTTCCCGCCTTAGTAAAACTTTTACCAATATTTAATTAGGCACAGCTACGGGAAGACTGGGTAGGCCCCACTTTATTAATAATGAATATAATGTCGGATTTTCGAACGGGAATATTATTTTAAAAGGGGGGTAGTGTTATAAACATTACTACTATATTCCTATATTTAGATAGAGGGTAATATACTACATTAGTACAATTAATTATACAGCTACCGAAGTATAGTACAGTAATTACGTACACCCGTACTGTAGTCCGTATTCTAGATCCACACACGGCGTGCCCTACATAGTTCTCGTGCGCGCACAGGATTCTCTTCCTGTTCCTCGTATAATAATTAAAGTCTTACCTTAGTGCTTGCTCGCGCCCTGTGATACTTTACTCTAAGTACGAATACGAGTATTACTAGTATCCATCTCCTTGATACTAGGACCCAATTCGTACTGGGAATAATTGCGGCGTACTAATGCTCGAATAGTGCCGGGGTTACGTAATTTACCCTTAGCTCTTCTAATTAAGATTACCTTACTTAACTATAACCCAGCTAGTAGTACTATAAATATAGGTTTACTACTAAACAGTCCCCCCTACTTACGTAAATAGCCTTCAGGGACTACTCGAATAATTAACTAATATTCAAGGTATTTATTTACCGCATTCTAATATAAGGGTTAGTATAAGGTGTAGCCGGACTATATATTATTACTTATATATCGTTAACGTGAATACTAAAAGGGATAATATATATCCTTAATTACTAAAGCCGTCTTACCCTCTTTTAATAGAGCTTCTATCTCGTAAATATAAGGGAGCCCGTACTAGGCTTTAAAACCATTTAAATAAAGTTTAAGAGGGGTACTAGGGAGTTTCAACCGCTTTAAGAATAGTATCATATTAAATATATAGTATTAGCGGTTAATAAAATTAAATACTCAAACAAATAACTTATATAGGCATTTACCTATATACTTACAATTAACCTATTTAATATATATATAAGTATCCAACTTCACTAACATATTTATATATACTCTGTACCGGTAATTAATATATTATAAGCAAACTTTATATATTTTAATTTTATTACTACGAACTAAAAGACTATAATTCTTTAAAAACCTATTATTAGCCTCGTTTAGCAACATTGTTCTTTATCCATAAATAAAATAATACCTAATATAATAGCCCGCCCACTCCTTCTTATAGAATAATAGTAACTGCCGAATTTATAAGATAATATCCTCCTACTTAGCAAACTAGTATTATAGAATAGACTAAGTATACTCAAAATCCGCTACGTTAGAGGAATAAATTATATACTACTATACAAAGAATTGTACTAACCTCGTATTAGTAACCTTATCGGGTAAGGGATTGAAATTAGTTATAACTATAGTAATTGTAGTAATTTTAGTATTACGCTGCTTTAACTCCTCGAAATCCTCTTTATTGTGTTACGCTTCTTCTAATAGTAATAATAATTTAAATTACTCGCGCACCCAATCCTTCTTAAAGTAATTGATAATGTTATAATTAATATATTATATATAATATTATTGTTAGAGATTAGGGAAGGTTTAATTGATTGTACTAGTAAGTTAGGGGTTACTATCGGTAATAGCTACTACTAAGTAAGGGATTTCAAAGTTATTGGCTACTTCCCTAATATACTTTATTAAGAAATTGAACCCTTCGTTTCTCTCATTATTCAAAAGCGCTTAAAAGATTAGCATTAAAATCTATTCTAAAGTAAAAACCACACCCTAAATAAAAAGAAGGTTATAATAGTTAGTTTTATATATTATATTATTTAAAAGAATATATAAGAACCTAAGGTACATTCGACACTACCGGTTAGTAACCCGAAAGATATAATATAATATATTATTATCCCCTTCGAAGGTTATATACTTAAATATAAAATTCGAATCCTTATATAATCTTTTAATAAACGTCTAGGTATTATTATATCCCTTTTGAAGGTTGCGGCGTATAGTTTGGTATATATTGTCGAAGTTACTATGAATCTAAGGGATCTTAGGATATTTATCTTATATAATAGTAAAGATAGTCCGTATTATAAAGTTCTATTATAGTAAGAAATTACCTAAAAAAACTTTCGCTTCAAAATTAACCTCATAGTCCCACGCTATAATACAGAATATAAAACAGCCTTCTAACGTATATAATAAGGGATAGCCTTGGTATATTAAATTTAATACCCGGGCAGTCCATTTCCACCCTATCCTCTCTTTAATTTAGAATACAATTCTAAAGGGACAATAGCGCGCCTTCTTTCGTAATATAGACCTCCTCTTTAAATTCTAATTCTATCTTAATAGTAAATAATAATTAGCGTAGTTGCAACGAAAAATATTCTTAATAACAAAGCCGTCTTCGTCGTAACCGGGCTTTTTAAATTTATAATTGCGCTAGAATGTAATACTAAAGCGATAATAACGATAAAGATTGATGAAATATACAAATAGCTCGTTATAGTCCTCAACTAAATCGAAAGAGAAGAAGGGGTCGTTTATTAGTATAGTCCAAGTAATATTGGGGTCGAAGGAGGCATTGGAAGCGAAGGTCTCGATTAGAGAGTGCAGCGTACGACGAGGGCGAGGGGGCTAGGCGGCCGACGTACGAGGGCGCTCACTAGAAGAGGGTATCTATAATAATTAAGTAGTACAAAAATTGATTAAATATAATAACTTTGGGAAAGCCTCCCCGCACCCTCCCCTTTCCTAGACGTACCCTGTCCCACTTAATAACAGTTGTTATATAATACCGGCCGTTTTAGCTAGTAATTTCGAGATTTTTAATGTCCCTAAACATATCGCTAATAATTCTAGACTATTCCTAGTGTCCTACAATATAGCCGTATCTTTATATACTAGGAAGGGGCTTGAGATATCTAGAGTACTTAATACTCAACTCTTGAGGTCGGTACGTAATAGGTATAATAGTAATAGGTATAATAGGAATAAGTATAGTAATAATAAGTACCCTATAGTAGTAATAGATGTAGTAGTGATAGGTATAGTGGTAATGAGTATAAGAAGGCTATTACGGTGTAAGAAAGAGAGATAGAAATAACCAACTCAGAGAAATATTAGTGGACATTGGAAAGACGAAATTTAGCAGGCAAAAACGGGAATTTTAATATCAAGTATCATACAGCTGTAGTCCCACTTTTCTAGGTAGGGGAAGGTACGTTTAGGTTTCAACAGGGTGCGGGGAGGCTTTCCCATAACTTTACATACGTTGAGGGTATTATTAATAGGTATAGAATGCTAATATAAATGTGTGTGGATTGATTATTAGAGTGTTGGCGCTAGCTGGTTCTGTAATTATATATAAAGTGTTAGTACAACTAGCCGTGTGAAAAAGAGTGAAAAGAAATAACTAAGGTAGAGCGATGTTGCGTGTATTAAAACGACGAAACTTTGCGGATAAAAACGGGAATTTTGATATTAGGTGTTATTAGTTGAACGGCCCCATTTTTCTAGTAGAGGTGGGTGCATATAAGTTTTTGGAAGGTGTGGGGAGGTTAACTCTATATAGTTTAGGCGGTTATTTAATAAGAGTTTACTTGCCGACACGCACCAAAAACTTACAGGCACGCACTTTTGGGATCTAACCGCTAACATATAAACTATGTCGTTTTGAGTGTAAAAATCGTGTTTTTCAATGTCTTGAGGTGGGTCAACCCAGTAAATACCCTATAAATCCTAATCCTCAGCGGGCAAGCAAATCTAACAGCGCCAATTTAATAGCGCTAATCTAGTAATGCTTTTTGTGGAGTTGAGGGGTTTAAGACAGTTCTTATTACCTCTATAGTACACTCTATTCTAAATAGTTACGTATAATAGTATTAAATACAACGATTAAACGAACGTTAAAGTAGTAAATATAGTAGATGTGTATAGTATAGATGGGTGTAGTGTAGTATAGTATGGTTTCAAAGTGCTGGTGTAAATGGTTGTGTGAAAAGGAGCGAAAAGTAATGACCAAGGTAGAGCGCTGTTGCGTGTATTGAAAAGACGGTGAAATTTTGCGGGTAAAAACGGGATTTACGATGTTAGGTATCATCAGTTGAACCGCCCCAGTTTTCTGGTGGGGGTGCGTGCCTGTAAGTTTTTGGTGCGTGTCGGCAAGTTAACTCTTTAATATTCTATATTCGGTCTTTAAATAACGAAGAACTTGATTATATTAATAACCTTTTTGTTTAACGGAAGTTAATTATATTCGCTATTTATACAATAGTTAAAGCTAAGGTTCTATATTGTCTGTTTATATATAAAGATTTAAATGATTATTACTAACGGTTATATAGGGTAGAGAGAGGGAGGTATGGAAATACCTAAATATTCGTTTGTTTATTCGAAAACGACAAATCTATTGCAATTAAGTATATAGAATTCGGTTATCATAATCAGAGAAATAGTAAAAATACATTTCCCCTGGGCAGAGTTAAAGTCCAGGGGAGACAGAGAGACGCCCATACTTAGTATCCTCAAGAAGAAGAAGAAAAAAAAGAAAAAGAAAAAGAAAAAAAAAAAAAAAAAAAAAACCTCAAAGGTAAAATTTTGAAATATTTTATTGATTTTTTATCTTTCTCCAAAGTTTCAAGTTCCAACCCTAACCCTAACCTCCTTTTCTAACTCTTAGGGTTAAAGGTCTTAGTCTAGGACTTGGTCATTTCTGGGACTTGGTTATTTTCTGGACTTGGTTATTTCTAGGCTACAGTCGTAACCAAAATCCTTATTTTCAACTTCTTTTGTATTTTTCTCAACAACCAAAGCTTGCACCACAATGCGATCGGCACTAAAATGACCGCCTTTTATTCCTCGTCATTTTGACACCATGTGCATCTTAATGCACGCAACGGTCGCGGAGCAATCTCCGTTGTAAAGGAAAAAGTAGCTTTTTCGCTCTGCTATTCAAACCGTGTCCTACTTGGCGCCAAGTTTTCCTCTTTGGGACTGCCAAGACAGGGCGCACGGATCACATAGTGACCATTTTTTTGCATTCTGACCGCTAATAGATAGATACGCCGCGCCTCCCTCGCTTGCGTTGGGTGGGCCTATGGACTACGACCTTTGGTGCGGATCTTCCATGTTACCTTTTGGCCTACGAGAACGCTCGAGCTCTAAATGTATAGGCGTCTCAATAAGGATAATAATAAGGATAAGGAGCCTAGTATATTGTAATATACTTTATAGCTTATAGGTGTCACGGGGCTGGCGCCTAGGGGTGTTTGCCTAGCTGGTACCCGTGTAAGCCAGGTATGCCTTCTAGTTGGGTACACGGGCCAGTCGGCTGTCGGCAGCCGTCTTGGCGCTAAATGTACCGCGTACTATTGGGTGCATCCCTCGGGCCGCCGTACAGGCTACATTTCTAGCCTTAGTATTTTTAGCACTTTCAATACCTATACTTTTTATATATTTAACTGTCGGCTCTGTGCTAGTTATATTAGTATAGAACCTTCTCCTCTTTATTAATTATTTTAAAATCTTTTTAAAGCCTATTTAAATATATACTTTATAAATCCCTTATATTATAATGGACCCTCTTTTTAATTACCCTCCAATTCCTTCAGTAGTCTCCAGTATATTCGCCGTATCGGTCTTTTTAATTGCCCGAAGAGTATTCCAACTATAAAGTAACCTTTTTTTTCCTTTTACTTTATTATATTATACTATAATTTCGATTCCGTAGGTTCAGAACGCTTTCGAACGCTAATAGTAGTTCGCTACGGCTATTTAAATTCTAGTTAATAAGCTAGCTATTTTGAACCCTTCCAAAATTGAGCCCTCTAGCGCCCCGAAACTAGTACTCTCATACTTCGATAAATTTATAGGGGATACGAAGGAATTCGATACGTAGGTTTATATGGCCGAAGTAAAGCTTCATATTAATAGTTATACTATTAGCAACTTAGAGGCCTAGTTTTACTACTTATATTCTAACCTTTCGCTTATTGTCCGCCGGACTTTATTCGCCTTTATCTAATTTTCTCCAATTAATCGGATATTAGAAAAGTTATTCGAGAAGCTCTATTTTAATTACAGTGAAGTTAATTAGGATAAGAAAGCCGGGTTCGAACTTTTTACTTTATAGTAAAAACCCTGGGAATCCGTCTCCTATTTTCTTATTTATTTCAAGGAGGTCCTTTATAGAGCTAAAGTTAATATATAGTTAAGTTAAATTATAATTAATTCATCAATATCCTCCCTTAATAGTAAATAATTCGGACGCTTCTATGAATGGTTAGAAGCTCTCAATAGTTACTTAGAGTTTTATAGCTACTTCCGGCGTTTTAATAGTCATAATTTTCTTAGGGAAAGTACAGGGTACTTTAGTACTACCGTTTATATTAATAGAGGGGAACCGATAGATATTACTACTACCCGGGTTCGACCTACACTAGTAGGGAGTTCTAATAATTATAATAGTAATAGCCTAATAGAAATATAATGAAAGAAGTAAGAGAAGAAGGGTATTTATGTAGCTTATAATTTACCTTCCTACTGGGCTAATAATTACCCGAATAAGAAGGTCTAGATTCGGTATATCTAAATACCTAAGTCGGAAGGGGGCCCGGAGACAAATAATAAAGTTAATAATAATAATAAGTATTAAAATACGGATGTTAGTTTAGTAAAATCCGAAGGGCGCTAGGGCTCCTAATAAGAATTACTATTGGATTTTGGAAATTCCCGGCCCGGGAAGGCCGTATGTACTCTACTTGTACGATTAGGTAGTAGCGAGTCTTATTAAAAGTATATATACCAAATATTATTGTAGGGTAATAATAGTTACAATATATAGGAAAAGTAGGGCGATAGCCTTTACAGATAAATAGAATTGAGCGTTATAGGGTATTTGGAGGATGCCCGGTATAGTAGCCACTATATAGCCTGGGGTGAATAGAGCCGGCACTAGCGTATATATAAATAATAGGTATTAAAGTAATTAATAGGACTTTCCTAGGGAAATGTATTCGAATAACTCAGCCGTTAATTATTTATTTAATCGGTTTTTATTATAAAAACCCGGGTAGTAAAGCTTTAGGAGTATTCGGGAGTATGAGAGGTTATTAGAATACTTAGATTCTTTTTTAAATATTATATTTCTAGCTATTTTTCAAAGGGAGAGGTAGGAAGTAATATTATAGGGCTAGCGCCCAAGGGTATTTACCTAGCTTGTACCTATGTAAACTAAATATGCCTTCTAGTTGGGTGTACAGGTTAGTCGGTTATCGGTAACCGTCTTAGCACTAAATATATTGCGTGCTATTAGGTATATCCTTCGGGGCGCCGCACGGGCTACATTTCTAGCCTTAGCATTTCTAGCACCTTCGATACCTACGCTTTTCGTATATTTAGCTGTCGGCTCTGTGCCAGCCATACTGGCACAGAACCTCCTCCTCTTTGTCGATTATTTGAAGCTCTTTTCAAGGCCTACCTGAGTGTATACCTCGTAGATCCCTTACAATAGGAAAGTAATAGAAACTATAGGAGCGATACTTATACTATTTATTACTTAATACAATGTACAAAGTTAATTAGTATTATACACTGACTGTATAAGGGGTTGTATTTGCTTTCAATAAATTATTAATACTAATTTCTTAAATAATTATTAATAATAAGAGGAACGAAGGGTTTAATTAATGAATTAAGTATATCAAAAAGGCTACCGACGAATTTAATGTCCTAATAATAATTATAATTATTACTAACTGTAATACTCAACTAATTAAAACTATTAATCGAATATTCCTAACTACTTAATATTGATATTAGATATAGTATATTGATTATAATCATATTAAATACTTTAAGAATAATTAGGAGCGTATAATATAAAATAATAATAATATTAAGGAGTAGTTCGAGGGGGAGAAGAGTAGTAATAAAGGTTCTGATTGTAACGGGTCTGCTAGAGTATTGTACAGCGAGTAGTCGTATAAGCTTGAAATATTATATTTAACGAAGAGAGTAAAAGGCAAGACTGTACCAGAAGGGTGTAGTTGAAAAACGGTTTTATAGTCGGGCGTACGGGCCAGGCAAACATGTGGATCCGACCAATTAGGAGGCTCGCATCCTTATCGATACGACCGACCCGCCTTGGTAGACTTGGTAAAGCCGAGTCTTTGATCCTGGGCGCTAGCCCTATAACACTAACAATTCTTCAACTAATTCTACTAGTAGCTAAATAGTAGTATAATAATTATACTGAGAGGCTATAAACTAGGAGAATGAGAATAACCTTAATTGAATCTACTATAAATATAAGAAAATTATAAAAGTTATTAGAATGTAAATATTATAAGGTTAGTCTATAATGTGATTATACTGTACGCCTCTAGTTCAGAGCTATTAACGGCTCTAGTTACGTGTAGTTCTACGTGTGTGCACGCGCACGGACTGGCCTAGACTAGGCTCTCGTCTGTATAGCCAATCCTCCACACACACTTCCCTTCTCCTCCCTCGTATAATAACATCATTCTACCTTACGCCTAACAATACCCTCCCGCGCCGTAATAATTTATTATACTAAACTATTATACTACGTACGCTTATTATTTAATAAAGAGGAAGATTGATTGTAATTATATTAACTAATTAATTAAAATTCGTATCCACACAATTGACACCTCTATTACAATTCTAATCTTCGAGCTAAGTAACTACTAAACTAAATATTATAATTATATAGTTTACCCTCTCTTCCTCTCCTTTATACTTACTAGTATATTCATTGAACGATTAATATCCAACCCCCTTATAACCAATGATATTTTAGCGATTATAATAATTAACGTTCTTACAATAACCGATTCAATTAACTTCGATTATTATTTAAGTATTTTACAAACGCTCGAAACCCTTAATAACTAAACGGTTATTATTGATAATATCCTAATTAACAACGTCTTCAACTTCACTAGCCTCCCTATATTCCGCACTATTTTCACAACCTTCAGTCAGCTAATTTACAAGGACATTATTAACGCTAAAAGAAAGGCACGCAAAGTAAAAGACCTATTCAAATTTGCTGAATCCTAAGTAGTATCCGCTTAAAAAGAAATTAAGCAATTCAATAGCTATGTTACTACAATCTAAACTAAAGCCTTCTTCTAAATACAACAGGCCGCCAAAAACTACAAAATTATCATTAAAACTATTTATGACGCTTATACTGCCGAAGTAGGCTCCCTCTGTACAATCATTATTACCCTAAAGATGGAGCTTTCTACTCTAAAAAACTAACTTTAGAATTACCTATTAAAAGTAAAAGGAGAAGTATTAAAAAACAATCAATAATCTATACCAACGTCTAGTGGCTACCCAAACTTTTAATATTATACTCCTAAAAGACATTCCAATAACGAAGAACCCAAACCTAATACTATGATTTTCACGGATAATAATAATAAACATAAATCAGTATTGTATATTACCATAACGCTACCGTTTGATAACAAAAGTACCGCTATTGAACAATCTACTAAATTTTATATTTAGCATCTCCACATCTAATTCGCCTAATTGGACAATCCCCAACTCTTCAACACTAAGCATAAGAAATTCTCGCTCATCACCTGCTCTATTGAAGGTGCCCCTTTTAAAGCTATCAAGTTTAAATTTATTAAAATCCTAGCTGAATTCCTGTTGGACTGGAAGGACGAAAAGGTACTGTTTTTGGTAGTGGGAACAAGGAAGAAGGGAAACAGCAGGGCAGCCTAAATACCCAGGACGGGAGGGCCAGTGAATAGAAGCACAGTGAATAGGCGCTAAGAGGCACGGCCGTCCAACAATTCCCTACTAAATAGTTTACAGCGGAGGCCCTCCTAGTAAAACTTACTACGAAGTACAATAATATAAACATTATTATCTATTCTTACTGCGAATTCGAAGAGCTGAAAATAACTAAGGGTATAAAGTGGTAGGAGTTCGAAGACAACTTTACCTACTTAATCGATCGCTAAAATTTTAATAATAATATAAAGATCTACTATTTGCGCTAGAAACGACGCCAAAACCGGAACCGCCGATTTCTAGTCGAGGAGTGCTCCAAAACGAAAACTAACAACAGCAATCGACTCAAGAAGGTCGTTTACGTCCCTCACAATATCCTACAACGAACGCAGCGACGGCGTTGTATTATCGTTGCCGATGGCTATAGATAGCGGTGTTTGTAGGTTTAAAAATAGTATTTACAACCCGCTCGTAGAAATTTCCGTATATAACAACCCCGAAATTGTATTTATTGCGAAGACTTCGGATAAAATAGAGGAAGATAATAAAATACTAAAGAAATTTATTATTAGAATAAAAAAATTTATAAACTATAATATTATTTTAATTAAGGATTAACGTTGGGTTTGAGGATTACTTTTTAAATTTGCGTAAGTTCGCGTTAGAAAAAGTAGGTCTATATAATTTAAGGTTAATAAGGTTAGAATCAATTAATTTATTACTAAAAAAGATTTTGATAATTTAAGAAAGGATATTTTAATAGAGATTAAGAAAGGTATTTAGGAAGTATTAAAATAATAGGCCGATATTATAGCGAAAGGTATTCCGGATAAAATTAGTACTACCTTTTAATAATTACCTACTATTATTATTAAGAAATTTATCCCCTTTAATTTCGAGTAGTAGTTTATTATTAAGGGAGTAATTATTATTACCGCATTTATAAACCGTTTGAGTGAAAATACAAAGACGGTTGTAGTAACGATTTTAGGCCGGAAGAAACTAACTTTAATAATTAAAGTAGTTATTAGAATGGTAATATCTAGAAGTTATATAATTATTATTCATAAATTTATATACAATTAGTACTAATAAAATTAAGGATAGGCTACGAAGGTCTTTGGTAAAGAGGCTATTATTACTATAAATACTATAAGTATGCTAATTCAGAGAGTACTTTAGGATAATATTAATGATTGTACTACGTTGGAAGTATTAATAAATATAGCGAGGGATAAAAATAAAGAGGCGGCTATTATAAGAGTTTAGCTTTAGAAGAGAAGGGACGGAGAGAATAGAAACTTACTCCTAATAGAAATCGTTACTTCGAAGGCGGCGAACATCTTCTAGGATAATTTCTTTCTTTAGGACAGTAGTATATACCTTTACAAACCGTTCAAATTTCGAATAACGTCCAATAGTATTTTAAATATTAGGGAATTGGATATGCGGCGAAATTCTATTATCAGGAAAGAGTAGCCCTCCCCGCGCCCTATCCTTCCCTATTGGGACCGTCCCCCACCGAGAAAAATGGGGCGGTCTAGCTGATGACACTTGATATTGAAATTCCCGTTTTTACCCGTAAACTTTCGTTTTTCAAATGCATGCATTATCTTCTCTAACTTGGTCAATTCTTTCACCCTCTTTCACACGGCCAATTGCACGCAATTATACCCACACTTTACACGCATCTACAATAGCACTTTATACGTACCTCCAACAGTATTAAATTTACCTTCAATGTACGTAATCTTATTCAAATTAATTGATTTCAACTACCTTCAAACGCTGATAATCGTACAAATGCCTCAACACACCCAGGGATAGCGCTACCGCCGTCGCGCTTCTTCCTCCTCCCTATCCCCATCCCCATCGCCGTCGCCGTCGTCGTCCTCATTGTAATAAGAGTAGGCTGTACTAACTAATAATAAATTCTTCAACATAACATTAAACCCCAACTTCTTCGAGATCTTGAGGTAATCTATCGAATTGTGCCGCCGCTACCGATTCAGTATTGTAATTCAGCGGTTATATATATTTAATAAGGGAGTTAATAAGGGTAAATACTAGAAGTACTTCTTTCAATATAATTTCGCTTAGCACATACGATACTTAGAATTGAACCTATACAAGACACAAAATATTATAATACGAAGATCGTACTAAATTGCCTTTTTTGTATCATTATACAGTCGCTTAAGAAAAACGATTATAAATAGATTATACGGCTAGTAAATCTTATATATCGAGCCTATAAGCTATCGGAGCAGTTATATAGCTACTTTAAATTTCGTTTAAGGGTTCTTAATATAAATTAAATAATATACATTAAAAGCCTTCTTAGGTAAAATAATTTAACCGTTCGATCTATCCACACTACTGTTAAAAAACGCTATCCCAACCTCCATCTTACCTTTAAAAACCTGGATAACTAATACTAATACCTTCAACGAGCGGACCGAAATAACTATACTAATACGCAAGCCTTTGTTAAGAAGTTCGACTTTAATGAGGTAATAGTATTTAAGACGAAAGAATTTTACTATTATAGTAATAGCCTAGTTGCGTTTGAGAAGCTCCTCGAGTAGCGCCATTATACGAGCCTAGTTCGCGGTGACCTCACGGCGCTACTAAACCTAATCTTTGTTTATAACGGGGCGGCTAGGGGTGCTAAAAGCCATAGGATTGCTAGGGGCAATACCGCTACTACCAAAACCGGAGACCGTACGGGCAGAAATAATAGTACTACTACTACCGGATATAACGCGCGTAGGAGTAATCGTACTACCGCTAAAACTAAAAACAATACGGACCGGGTTTATTATATTATTACTAGGACTAGAAGGAGTACGACTATAGAGAGCGTCCCTTACAAACAATTTACAGTAGCCCGTCTATTGGAAAGTAATAGCGTTATAATATAGGGTATAGAAAGAAATACCGAGGTTATTAAGGAGATTATTATATATTAGATATTCGTATATATATTCGGTAAAATAATTAATAGTGCGGACGAAGGCGTCTAATTTCTAATAATATCCAGCCGGGCTACTTAATATTATAATAATAACTACTAATTAAATAGTATTATAAGCGTTATAAAGGTTAGTAGGGACGTTTAATATATATTTATTAATAGTAAAAATATAAATCGTATTTTGGAAATCGATAGTTAGGAATAGAAGTTAATTAGGGAAGAAGGATAAGGAAAAAAGGAAAATATTAAACTTACTAGAAGATAAAATAAAGTAAATTTTATTGGCGATAATCTTAATAAATTCGTTGGGAGCGGTAAGCTTTTAATTAGTTTTTAAAATTCTAGTAAAATTTAAAGTATAGTAAAGGTAAAGGACTTTACGAAGGATATTAGACGGGTTAATATAAAGACTAAGGATAATAAGAAGGACGGTTATACCGGTTTAAAAGGGCTATAAAATCTAAATTACTATAAAGAATATAGGAAAATATTACGGACTCTAAGTAAATTAGGGCCGTAAAGTTAGGAAAAGCCGTAGAATTTAAAAATACTTTAGAAGAGGAGACCTTAGGGTTAGGAATAAAGTTAATCGGGTTAGGACGGTTATAACCGGAGGAAATTATTTTGGACGAAATTATTATAGGGAGGAAAAAAGGTAGGAGGGAATTAAGAAGGAATATAATAAGAAAAATTATATATATAGAGGGGAAGGCCCTTGCACTATTGTAAATAGGGGTAGAGCCGAGGGTTAGGAAGTAAAGGGATAGGGTAAAAATAAATATAAATAAGAGTAACGAAGCGGAAGGGTAGGGACGTAAATAGGAAAATAGAACGGAGAAGCGGGGGGAAAACGGAGGAAGGGGTAGTAAAAATCAAAATAGAGAAATAGCGAAGGAAGGTAACATCCCTAACTATATTCCTATTATTCTTATTATTCTAGTATTAGGATAATATAGTAAAGAAAAGAATAAAATTAATTCGCTATAGTAGTAGGTAAGAACCGTTATAATTATAAATAAAGTAGGAGTAGTATAAGTAAGTTACAACCGAAATAAAGTTAAAGGTTTTTATTTAGCGGCGTTTGACGCCGTATAGTTTTCCCCTCTAGAGAACTAGAGAAGGACCCTATACTAATAAGGCGCTATAGTTATATAGTTAGGGTAAAAGAATATTATTATTATTATAGTAATAAAGGTAATAGAGAGGGTACTATACTACAGTATACTTTTTGGGTTAATAATTTACAACGGTCTATATAGTTACGGTTCCTATATACCCTTCTTACTAACGCTATATATGAAACTAACCGCTATTATACGCCCTTCGTACAAGTGGTAATTGTTATATTAGAGAGGTTATTAATACTAGTATTCCAGGCAATAATTAATACCAAACGGGACGAAGGATTTATATAGTTAGTCGAGTCATTCGATAAGGCTATTAAAGAGCTTGACATCTCTCTACCTACCGTATTTATTACTAATAGCGTACTTAATTCATTTCCACTAATAATTAATTATTACCCAACATTAAATACTAATACTATATTTAGTATATTAATTATAATATTATTAAATACCTCAAAGATACTTAGATTACTATAGCTAGAAATAGCGAGTTTCAAAACAACAATGAGGAGTCTAATAATACGGATTCCTATAGCAGTAATTCTAATTTATCGTCGTCTAATTAATAAAGCGAGGTACATAGTTAGTAAAACGAAAACGATATCGAACGGTTACACCGTATATATAATAAGGTCAAAACGGCTACTAGAACGTAGGGTAGGCTAGGTCCAATCCCTATAAGGGTTACCAATACTAGAATTAGCCTATTTTATTTATAATAGTATATAATCTACTCCTCATCTAAATCGGACTTTGAAAGAGATTACTTGCCCACACCCCCCGAAAACTTACATACACCCACCCCCACCAGACAAATGGGGCAGTTTAGCTGATAACACCTAACATTATAAATCCCGTTTTTACCCGCAAAATTTCGTCTTTTTAATATACGCAAGATCCCCTCTAACTTGGTTATTTCTTTTACTCTTTTTAACATAGCCATTTATACTAGCACTTTATATATAATTATACTACTAGCTAGCGCTAGTAATAATCTACACACATTCACACTAGTACTCTATACCTATTAACAACACTCTTAATATACCTAAAATTATCTCATTCAATTAATTTTTATACTAATCGATTACTACAAATACCCTCCTCTAACAAGCGCCCTCGCCATCGCACGTCGGACTCTTTAATTAATACTTTCGCTTCCAAAACTTCCTTCGACCCTAATACCACGTGCACGTGGACCGTACTAGCAAATAATCCCTTCTTCTCCCTCAACCTAGTTGAAGACTACAATGAACTATTCGTATACTTTATCAACTTCTATTGTCACTATTGCTTTAATATTACAATCTAGCGCAGCCACAAACTCAAAAAGCCGGGCCACAAAGAGAAGAACTCTATTATTAAGAATATCTTTCGTTGTAATTACGCTAGCTACTACCTACCGCTAGTATAGAATTAGAATTTAAAAAGGAAATCTATATTACAAAAGAAGGCGCGCTACTATCCCTTCAAAATTGTATTCTAAATTAAAAAGAGGATAAAGTAGAAGTGGACTACCCGGACAATGAATTTAACACATTTTAACCATCCTCTATTACGTACATTAGAAGACTACATTATATTTCGTATTATAGCTTAGGACCACAAAATAAACCCTAAAGTAAATACCTTCTTAAGTAACCTCCTACTACAACGCAACCTTATAATACAAACTATCCTCACTACTATAAAAGATAAGTATCCTAAAATCCCCTAGACTTATAGCAACCTCAATAGTATACGCCAAATTACCCGTTACAACCTACAAAAGGGATATAAGAATACCCAAATATTTATTAAGAAATTGTATAAGGATTTAAATATCGCATTCAAATATAAGTCTTTTGAAGGGGATAATAATATATTATACTATACCTTCTAAGTTACTTAACGGCAGCATCGAATATAGTTTAGATTCCTATATATTCTCTTAATTAACACAACGTATAAAACCAACCGTTACAACCTTCCTCTTATTTAGAGCGTAGTTCCTACCCCAGAAAAGACTTTAATACTATTCTTTTAAACGCTTTTGAACAACGAAAGAGACAAGGGGTTTAATTTCTTAATAAGGTATATTAGGGAAACGGCCAATAACCTTAAAATCCCTTACCTAATAATAACTATTACTAATAGTAACCCCCAACTTACTAGTACAATCGACCAAACCTTCCCTAATATCTAACGATAACGCTATATATAATATTTTAACTATAACGTTATTAATTACCTTAAGAAAGATTCGGTACGCGAGCAATCTATATTATTATCGCCGTCACTATTAAAAGAAGAAGAGCAACGCAATAAAAAGGATCTCGAAGAATTAAAGTAGCGCAACGCTAAAATTACTACAACTACTATAGTTACAGCCAATCTCAATCCCTTACCCAATAAGGTCGCTAATACGAAGTTAATACTATTCTTCATATAATAACATATAAATGACTCCTATAATATAGTAAACTTTGAATGCGCTTAATTTATTCTATAACACTAATTCACTAAGTAGGAAGATATCGTCCCGTAGATTAAGGAATTACTATTACCCTACAAGAGGGAGTAGGCAAGGTATTACACGAGGCACTACTTCGACTAGGGACAAAGAATAACATCGCTAAACGAGGCTAACAACAGGTCTTTAAAAAATTATAATCTTTCAATTCGTAGTAGTTTATTTAAAGTATATAAGGCTTATCTACAATACATTAACCACTATTACAGAGTATATATAAATAAATTCACAAAGTCAAATATCTATATATGTATTCAATGAGTTAATTACGAGTAGATAAGTAAGTACCCGTACGAATTATGTACTTAAGTACTTAATCTCATCGACCAACACTATTATTTAATATAATACTA